AGACTTGAGCTATATGGAATGTTTCAACAGGTCAAACTCAGAAAAAATGATGTTCCACGCACACAGGGAATGATAAAAAAGCGTTGAAGATCACTACTACAGTATAAGACAACATTCAACAACAGGAATGCATCGAAGATGTCGATTCGAAAGGAAATTACAATACTAAACATCTTGATTAAAATGCTAGTGAAGATCCTCTGCGGACAACATTTCTGCCCACAATGGCGGAGAAAACTGTAGAATAATTTCCAAGATGTCAAAAAAAACTAGATTTTCTTCCAGATCAACAAGGTGTTCGACAACTTTACCTTTGGAAATATAATCTTTCCTTCATCAAACGTGGGCATCCCATCAAAAATATCTTCGCGCAAGCCAAGGGACTCCAGGTTTGAGAAAGTTTCCAATTTTTGAGCCAGGATCCAACCATTCTCATCCATTTGCATTGGAAACGATTCGGCATGCAGGCTTCGAAGCACGCCACAGCCAAGAAATTGAAGAAACTTGGGGATACAGGTATTTGGAAGCCGTACCGCAGTAGTTAAGCTGAACATTTCTCTCAAGTATTTGCTGAGATTGATCAAATGCAATCTTTCCAATCTGCAGCAAAAAAAAGGAACACTCTATTCCACCATTAAAGCAACGACTCGCATACTGTTGAAATACTAGCCTCGGAAATATCGACTTTAAATCCACTGTATATTCTTTTGCCAAACAACATGGCAGAGCAACTTCCTGGCAATTGGGAAGCATGACGCTTTTCTCCTTAGCAAGACGAAGGAAGGGATCCGAAAATGGCCATCTCAGGATTGTTAGTATTTCCAACTTAAACGAGACTCCGCCTTTCAAGAATTTCAACAGGGAATCTTCACAGTCCAATGAATAAATTTCAAGAACCTTCAAATTCTTCCAGTCAGCAGCTCCGCACAACGAACCCGATGACTTCGTCAGTCTCTGCCGTGGAATGTCGAGATGCACTGCAAGCCTACGGGCACGCCTGAAAAGGAGGTGCAGTATGCTGTGGTTGTATAGTAGGCTGATCTTAACACATCATACAGGGTTGTGATGCGCACCTTTTTGTACAGGATTAGCAGAACTTTACAGGGTGGGCCAAAAAAGTGAACCGATTCTTGGCTTGAAATAGTTCAGCAAAACATTATTGAGCTGTTGAAATAAAAAAACCCAAATCAAAGCTTGCTCAATTGCTTTTCAAATGGTTTTGAGGCGTTCCACAGCATGGTCACAAAAACCATTAGGATGGAAACTTTCCAAACTTGTCAGGCAGCTCTTTCCACTGAACTGCTGTTCTCCTTCAGAGCTCTTCCTGGGGATGAATGGGATGCAGGACCAGTAATTTAACCAGCAACCTTCATGCTGCCTACAGGAGGGTGCACACATTTCTAAAATGTAGAAGATGATAGTGAGAAATAAAAAAAATGAGATGCTGCTTCACTCCAGAATCCCAATGCAAGCTTGCTGGGCTTTTACTGTGTCAGCTTCATGACTCATGTGACCCCATGTAGGCACATTTCTTTGGCATGACTGGATTGCTCAAAATCCGTTTCACTCATTAATAATCACAATGGTCAGCCATTGCTTTTGTCATCATTTGTCAATTTTTAATAAGTTCCAATTTCCTAATCATCACAAGCAGAAGTCATCAAAATATGAATGAACAGAATGCTTTATTTGCCACTTTTCAGCATTTACAAGGCATCAAAATAAGAATGAAAAATTCACTGCTGCAGATGAAAATACACCATGTTGTACATGAATCAACCTGACCATTGTGATTATACTGAGTGAAACCAATTTGGAGCAATCCAGCCATAAAAAAAAATGTATGCAGGAGCCATAAGGCTGGCACCCAGCATCTGGATTTGGGAGTGGAACAAAATCCCACAGCTCCATTTGTTTGCACTTCTCATTCCCCCCACCTAAATTTAGGGAATGTGTGCACCTCTTTAAGGCATCATGAAGTTTGCCAATAAATTACAGGCCCACACCCCATTTATCCCTTAAAAAAAATAACCTTTAGAGAACTGATGTGGCACTTGGGACCATGAAACTGCAAATGATTCAAAATGGAATTGAACAAGCTTTCAGTTGGCATTTTTTCCTTGCCACAGCTCAATTTGCAGTTGAGCAATTTTAAATAGAAAATTGGTTCACTTTTTCTAGTCCACCCCGTACATGGAGAATATTTTTTTCCAAGTTAGTTACAATTTGGTTCGTCCTTTATTAATCAAATGAAGGCTACTCACCCAGCAACACTGTTGAAGAGGTCTTGCACATGCCCCAATGGCATGGTTGAGACACATTTAGATCCTTCCTGGTATAGATCGACGTTAGTCCAAATCCCTCCATTCCTCACAAGTTCAAAAAACCGTCGACACACAGGCACGACATTTTCCATCGTTTCCAAGGGACTTAAATATTCAAAAATGCTTTTCAAGACCATCCAAGGCAATGCAAGCAGGGGCGACGTTTGTTCCTCTCTTGCGCAAGGTCCATGGGGCAACAGAAACATGAACCGAGAGAATGCTGGGATGAACACAGAAAATAATTTTTAATTTCACTTCAAATTCCTACACAATTGCTGCACAGTCAAACCTAATTAAAAACGCACCCAACAAGCCTCCGCCCTTGAAAACTGCCAAAAATGGTTGATGAAAAAATCTCCGACATGTTGAAAATAATAAAAACCTCGATAAGACGCACTTCGCAACATTTTTAATCGAACAAATTCTCTTTGGCATTTGTTTTCTCTGCGATGCCCTGGCAGAAAAATATTTCCATGTTTCCAACGGACATGGGCTGAAATTTTAAGAAAAACAAATTTCTTGGGAACAGTAGGTATTGCACGTACAGTATTTTTATTCGAACATTTGGATTGAAATAAAAAAGATTTTCATGAAGAAGGAATCCATGACGATGACAACTTAAAAAAAAGCACGTTACCGAAGTTTCTACATTTTCAACATTTTAGCAGACTTAGTATTTAATTGAATAATTTTCAAAAACATTGCGCCTTTAAATAATATTATTTTCACTGATTCTCTTTTAAAATATATTGTTGACAAAGATGCAGAAAATCAAGAACAGCAATTTTAAAAGCGTTGTGATCGGGATGGATTCTTCTTCTAAAACAAATTCCCTCGATCAAAAATTATACCGATACATAGGAATGAATAACATTGCTCGTTTTGGCAGATGATATTAAACTATTTAAACATTTTGAGACACTTTCAATAAACGGCCAAAAACCTTCCTGACGGATTTAGCTACCTGGCGTCTTATCGATAGGCTTGACTGTACCAAATGTGCTAATTTACCTGTATGATGACTTCGATTGAAAATTCAAAATTTGAACCTAAAGCGTTCGGTGCTCTTGAAAAGAAGAAGGAGGAATTATTGACATCATTCGGAAAACAATTACTGCTCATAAAAGGAAAAGAGACTGCTGCTGCTGGGGGAGGACCTGTACCGCCGTAAGCTGCTTTAAAAGAAGTCATGCATTTGGAATTTAACATCGAGTAACACATATGCTGATTTTAGATGAGTTTTCCAAGCTTTCTCATAATTTTGACTCTTCCGTGTTTCAAAGTACAGTAGTTGTGAACAAAAGAACTCACGAGTCTGCTGATAAAAACACTCGATGATATCTCCATGCATCAATAGACGAGATTCGCCTTTATCCTCAAAGCTCCGCAAATCTTTGTTAATGCGTACATCCATTTTCAAGCGCTCCAGATTTTTTCTGTTCACCCACAAGGAGAAATTCCCCCACCAAACCGCACGCACACTAAAGATGCGATTGGAATGGGTTACCTTTTGACATACTCGTTGGTCGGGACTCCAATCCGTCCGATTGTGGACATCTTTGCAGAAGAGAGGCCTTTCATGAATAATGGGTGAAAAAGAGAAGCTGAAAAGGTGTACTGTATACTCACGCATGGGGATGCGCGTCATATTAAAACGTTGCCGCGCTCTTCCCAGAACATCGAATAAATCTATTGAAAAAATCGCTTCGATGCCATTCCAATAAGAACGGAAGCTCTGCTTTTGCTTGTCCGAAAAGATTCCCCCCAATTCCATGTAAGAAAGGTCCCGAAAACCATAATCAAGCTTCATCAGAAAAGCATGCATGCTGAAAATACTCAGGAGAAAATCCGCGGCGAAACCGCGTACTACGATCCGCTGAAGGATTTGTAAGTGTTTCAACGTCAACGAAGTTCTGAAATCGACAGAATGCGTGGCAAATAAGGTTGGGTCAACTTGGCAGATACAAATGAGAGAAAAACCGGTGACACCATTCCGATGGATTATACGCGGGTTGTCTGAAGCCCGCGCAGCTTCCCATCAGGCTCAACTTCAAAGCAGCAGTTGGAAAGTCGCACTTGAACAAATGTATTTTCCATCGCGTTCGTCTTTCCCATCTGGAAATTGAAACATTTCCTGATGTTTGCTTGATTACAGCAAGTCACTGCCATGGGCATAAATTCAAAATAAGCCTCATCATGCAGTAATGAATACACTTCCTTGATTCACATTCCAGAACAATACGCCAGCCGGTGTGGCAAGCAGGGCGAGTGCGCGCCAAATTCCCACGGAGGCCGCCCTGTTTGTTGCAGTGATACGTCCCGTTCGAACACTTGTCCGCGATTTACAGTATGGTCCAACACAAGCTTCGTGAATGCTTGCCCAATTTACTGCGTCACGCCTATAATGCTGTCCATGAATGAGCCCTTTCGTCAGCCACCACCGTCTTCCACAAGCGGATGGGTTCGACCTTCAATACACGATTTGATACCGGCTGATGACCTGCTGTTAACATATAAGCTTTATTAGGCTGATCATGAAATTACTTGTGGGGAAGATACAGAGTCACTGACAAGACCAGGTCATTTCCAAGAGCTGCTTTTCTTAAGTCACAATTTCTCATCATCNCGCGTCGTTGCATCTCAAGTGATAAGCAGCAGGTTTATACTGTATAAACCCATGATGTATTTACATTATATTCATACCTCTTTCAGCTTCAGTGTTGTTGTCTCTCTCCAACGTTGAACGTCGAGTAGTGCTGTTGGAAAAGTGTTTACGTTATACACTGGAAATTTGCTGCGCAGAAATTCCTCGAGATTTATTATTGTGAACCATCGGCAATGGCAGAGGACTTGATGCAAGCATTGGTCTTTGATGTTGACACAAAGACCAACACGCTGACCCAGAAACCTGTACCCAGGGAATTGGCACCTAATGAAGTGTTGGTCAAGGTCTCAGCCACGGGGATTTGTGGCACGGATTTACATGGAATGAAAGTGAGTTATTTCCCAATAAAACTGCTCTCAAATACAGCAGTTGAACCTCTCTAATTTGAATTTCTAGTGACCAGGAAAAAAATTTGACTGAAGGAGGTTTTGATTTTTTGAGGTTTTGAGTAAAGGGAACACACATTTTTGCTGTGAGGAAAAGTAAAAAAAAAATATTATGGGAAATTGTAGATGAGCTGGATATTCTGGGCCTAAACTTGCTTCTTAATATGAGTTTACAGCTTGCTGAACTTGGAGGCACAGGTTCATTTGTTCAATTAGTCTTTCACTTCATTTCAAGAAGCGTAAAATCATTGGTTTCATTGATTTTCTCTTTCATATTTCAAGGAAATAATAACCAAAAGGCCTCAGAAAATTTGACTTACAGAGGTTTGAGAGAAAAATACTTTGAGTTAGGGAGGTTTTAAATGCATTGTTTCTAAGGGAATCCGGACAGGGACTTGATTCTTCCCATAAATACAACATGGCCCCAAGATGCGGATGTAATTTGGATTTGGACCTTGTTCCTATGTCAGAGCATATGTATTCCCATAGATTTTCATGAAAACATATTTATTGGTTCTTCTGTTCATATAAAATCAGGGATGAAGTCCCAATAAATTAAATAAATTTTTTCAGCTGCAATAAAAATGCAGAAAATTACTGCGCAGAAGAAAAAATGCGCATAATCACATCTTTTTGCATCATGTAAAAAGAGTTTAAAAAAAGGAAAATAACACGTTGTGCTAGACTGCTTGTGCAGAAATAATAAAAAAACACTCTGAAAAATAAACAAAAAATTAGCCTGTTTCTTTTTATATTTCTCACATAGGTAATTTTACAATGCATTTTTGTGCGAAAACATAATTAGCTTCATTCGTCAGGGATCAAGTAACAATTTTAGAAATATTTTTTTCCATTTTTCTACAAATGTTGAAAAAGTATCCATATCTGGAGATATTGTCCAGATGTCAGGGAAGATTATTTTTAGTTGCAAGCGTCTTTAAGTAAAATCTTCTGTATATGCCTGATATATAGTGAGACCCCCACATGCAGACACCTTGACCTGTGGACAATTCAACACAGGGACACTTATTTGCCCATAAAAAATTGATAAAAAAGGCCCAACATGAGGACACTGACTTGACATAGGGACATTTTGTGATAAAATTGCAAATACACTTCAGGCCAAATTACAAGAAACAGATATTGACAACCCTAAAATTGATGTAAGAAAAGTTCTTGGGCATTTTTCTCACCAATTTATCATCCATTTAGCTAATTAAAAAAAATTACGTCTGGCATAGAGGGACTTCCTTCTCACTTTTTTCAATTGAATGTTATTTTTACAGAAAATGCCAACATTTCTATGTACTGTTCAGAGGTATCATTATTTTATTCCCCAAATGTTCATATTGTGTTGAAATACATCAGTTTCAATTGGGAGACAATTTTTAATTTCATGGAATTATGGTGAGTATTTTGTACAAAAAACACCAATTAAAAATTATATAATGTAAGTCTGAGGGAAAATGAGACGCAACTTAGGGACACTCTTTATATACACCAATTACGTCCACATCTTGGGGTCTCACTGTACTTGATATTTAAACCAAAGCTTGGATATTGGCAAAATGCCCTGGTTGTGTGTTTGTTTGTTTTCATTAAAATCGGATGCTGAAGAAGAAACTCAACCAGTTTTTGAATTTATTCTTTCTCAAAAAAAGGGAGAATTTCCATTGAAGAAAGGTGGCGTCGTCATGGGACATGAAATTAGCGGAGTGGTGATTTCAGTTGGCACGAAAGTGAATCACGTGAAACCCGGCGATCGGGTTGCTATAGATCCCAACAGGTGAATTACTACAGTATTTCATTTTGTGCGCTCTCCAACTTGAATAAAATAGTACATGTTTTATGAGAAAAAATGACTCCAGGAAACTGTTTCATGCAACGAAAATTTCTCACCAAAAACGATCAAATCTTGGCGTGTTTTCCAGATTGGACTATGATTGGTGTGCCAGGTTCACCAACATTTAATTATTGTACTGCACCAATTATGATAAAGGTCACAGTTTGATGAGAAATGAATTTTACGATATTCTGTTCGTGTTCCGCCTTCGTCATTCAATTTTGTGCATTAATTAATGTTAGGCTAATATGCTGACGATCAAAAAATGCGTTTCAAAACCGATTTGGCATGGCTTTAATAACTGTTCGAGTAAATAAATAAAAGTAAAAAACAAGAGCGGCTCGTAGAATTTTTTTTTTTATTGATGGAAAAATTATCCTGCGAATGAAGGGATTGTGGAATTTGCTGCTATTGCACACGAGGCAAGAGCAATTTCTGCGAAATATTGGGCATCAAGGAAAACACCGGCCTCTTTTTGGACGGCGGATTTGCGGATTATGTTCGTGTGGAAGCAGTGCAAGTTCATCCTTTACCGGAAACGATCGACTTGGAGACAGGTATAATGATTTAATATGCAAGAATGCATGTTATGTGTTTCATTCAACCACAAAAATGGAGCATATCGACCAAGTTGAAAAATAACCTTGGTTTCCTCTCGAATCTTCATTCATTTATTTATTTTTATTATTTTTTTGTGTGTGTGGAGCTAATCTTTACGAATAATTGGCAAATTTTAAGCAAACTTCTAAATGAGCGCAGTTTTT